AAAAAAAAAAAAAAAAAAAAAAAACAAAATCCAAACCACCACAGAATTAAAGCCACAGTGAAACTGTGCAATTATTGCCTGTGTTATAACCATGTATGAGCAAATTACTGGTTTAGGCCTTTCATAAACACATATGTTACTTAAGGGCAGTTCCTGCACTGAAAACTTCTTCATTCAAGAATCTTATCTCACGATTAACAAAAACTTCTGTATCAGGGATATCCAACATCACAGGTATCTAGATTTTGATGATTTTAACAGCCTAAATATTAATTTTGAACAGTTCAAAATTTTTCAAAACATTACTGTAATTTCCTTTCTCACAGAAAGTTCTCCAACAGATGATCTTTTCCTTAATTCTTGCATGTCCAGTTGCAAAAGAAAATCTACAGTCACTATTCAGATTTCAAAAAACGACCATTTCAAGTATTGCCTAAATATCTGTAAATTATTAGCACCCAGAAAGACGCAAGAAAAAATATTATGTTGTAATTTTAAAGCTGAATTAACATGAGAGTGTAATTTTTAAATTTGAGATTTAAAGTAGTTTTCCATCTTTTAAAAGTAGTCAACCTTGTACTCACATTCACAGTTAAAGCACATGTACAGAAATAATCAGCTAACAAATGCCTTAAAAATGTGCATATTCCAATGTCCAGAAGACTGTTAATGAGTTCTCTCATGAAACACAAAAGCATAAACAAGTGATCTGCCTGCCATAAAATTTCTTTTAAAAGAATATTGAAAAGATGATACAGGAAAACAACTGTGGGTTTTGATGTCTCAGACTTCAAAGAGTGGGTTCTTACATCATGGCAGCACATACACAGTTCAGAGTGAACATTCAGACAGATGTAAATAAAATGTGCACACAGGAGTAACCAACAAGGCCACTCTCACTTTCTGGCAGACCTGATGTCTCCTTCATACAGTTGCTTAGGGAATAAACTCCTTTCTCCCTCTCCAATTCCCTGCTTGCCTTTCCCAAACAAACTGGAAGCATCTCATGCAGGTTGCCTTCTCTTCCAGAACCAAGTGGAGCTCTTCTCCTTTTTGTATTAACGGCCTTCAAATCCCATCACCTCTTAGGCAGTCTTTCCTTTCAGCCCCTTTGGCAAACAAACTTTGTCAGTCCTCACAACAACTTTTTCTACCCCGTGTTTCACCAATTTTCTCAATCGCTACCCTGCAAAAAGACAACATTTGTTTCCATTGACATAGTAAGGCCATTGGAACAGAGGTTGGTAAAAGACAGCACAGCCCCTGACATGCTGTCTCTGCTGTCAGATTCTGCAGCACCCAGCACAAACATCCAAGGAGATAGCAGTGATGGCTGTCAACAAATACAAGAACAAGAAGCAAGAAGAATATCCAGAATTCTTCCTTCCATGGCTGCTCAACAAATTGTTGTTTACCTGGAATTATCTGAAAATCATATTATATTACACATAAACGCAGATGTCTAATGCTTCTGTTTACTTGGAAAATTAGGATGTGCCTGCCAAAGTTAAAGAACTTTGCAACCATGAAAATTTATGCAGTAAGCTGACCTAGCATAACAAAGAACAGAGACTTCAAGAAAAGCATTTTTGCAGCAACCTAGAACAAGAGCTGACAATATTTTCACTACTGATTTGAAGAACATAAGATCAGTAATACAATTCAAGAATGGAAAAATCTTCACATTATATAAATATATATAAAAAAGCATTACCCTCACAACAAATCTACAGTACACTAGTACAGCAACTTGTACAAACAAGTGTTTTTTAACTTTTGTAGACAGGCTACTCCAACATCATACACAAATACACAGTGCACATTACCATGGCCCCAGGAGATCACCAGCAATGACACAGAAGGAAAGCGTGTCCGTTGTAGGTTCTGTTTGTACTCGATGGCATTTCTCATTGTGGGAACACAGACAGCAATCATAAAACAACACCTAGGAGTCAGAATCTCCAGCACTCACTCCTGCAGCCGTTCATCACTATGTAATGTGTGCACCTTACAAACACTATGAAGTCTGCTGTTGCTGAAGTTTAATTTTTTGGAGGAAAAAAAGGCAGCAAGAGAAACCTCAACCTCTACTAAAATTTCCGTGGATTACATTTGTTTTTGCCAAACCCGCCCCCTCCAACCAATTCTCCTTCACACCCCTTATAGCTTCCTAATTCCCTCTACCTTAAGTCTTCAGGCCCTTTCACATCCTACTAAAGCTACCAGACTGACCTGTAAGCATGACTCAGCTGTAATTACATTAAATTCTAATCTAAAGGCTCATGTGTTTGACAAGGCAGCCTAGCTTAACCCCTGCCTCCCAAACCTGCATGAACAGCAGGCAGTCAATCCAAAGTGTAGCTCAATAGTGTGTATGGTGAACTCCCTGTGCAATAATTCATATTTTTATACTGTTGGTTCTGGAAAGCTACATTTAGTAAGTTGTAAAAAAGACCTCTTCCCTTATTTCTATATTGAGAACGAATCCTAATTGGACAGAACAGTCATAAAAATTTAACCATGTTTCTGAAAACACGAGTGCCAAAGGGTAATGCATCGCTAATGGTTGCCAGTGGAATAAATAGCAGTTCTGACGTCAAAACTTTGTTACACTCCAATAACTGGCTCACTTGGGGTTTCAGGTACAGCAAGCTACATGTCAGTTTTAAATAAAGTTATGAAAATAGAATACACTGTGAACCATATTGTCACTATGCAACCCAAAACTACATGACTTATGTCTAATAAAATGTTAACAAAGGTGATAGACGGTATAAAAATAGTATTTTCTACCTCATGATATCCTCTTACATGGATTTGAGAGGGTGAACCAAGGCAGATATAATTCCTCTTTCGTTTTTCAGAACATATGGCCAAAACCAGAGTAAGCAATTTCGAGTGAAATTCACATTTTAAAAAAAAATTTATTGTACCTTCACCCAAAAGGCAGTCTAGTAAAATTTAAGTTGTAAAAATCTGCATTGTAACACATCTTTGATTCCTTCTCTAATAAACACATAAAGCAGCAAGTGGCTTTCCCTCACCTTTCAATTCCTTCTGTAGAGCAGCTGTTTAACAAAATACTCTTTACATTTAATTTTCTAAAACACAAATCATGGGCCTTACTTGTATAACTAACATTTCATAGGTTCAGTGATGCATCTACCCAGATGATGGACAGGACCGTGGTGCATGTGTGGAATTAATACTTGAACTCTTCTAGCTCTGCCTACATACTGAGGGTTACACTTCACATGTGCCAACTTCAGCTTCACCCACAGAGAAGGGAATGGACAAAGCTGTTAAGGGAACAACACATGGCTGGAGATAGAAAGACTGAGCTGAGAGCAGGTTTCCAAAACTGTTATCTGGGGTCCTACACCAATAAGCCTACACCACTTCAATCAAACATTTCCATTAAGTGTTACTAACCTTTTCCTTTCTAAATCAAAGTCTGATCATACAATCTTGCCAAAATTCTTTGGTGGTCAAAGCATTTCAGTCTCACGCACCCTCCTGGAACGAGGCCAACCAGCCCACACTCCCCAGATGTCAGCAAAATGGATCAGTTGGGCACCCCCAGCTGTATCCATTGTTCCAGAATCATTATACTTACTATGACTAATTGTTGATTTTAATTAAATGTTGTTAGTTTATAAGTATTGTTCATTTATAAGTTAATACATTAGCATTGATATATTCAAGTTGTTGTTATCACTTATCTCAAAACATATTGTTGCATTAAGAAGTACACTGAAGTCCCCAAATCCCCCAAAACTTCTAGTTATAAGCTGTTGACTAGCTCTGGGAGTTGGGGTAGGTCAAACCTTATTCTTCAAACGAGTTTGAAGGAAAAGGGAGTCTGTTCTAAACCTTGTGATTGAAGAGAAGGGCACCCCTTTACCTTCAATATCCTGAACTTCTCTAATATTCTTAGTCACAAATCATTGGTCCTGTCTAAGGTTGGACTTAGCCACACCTAGGCTGCTCTCTGTCAAGGAGTTTAGACAGCAAGGAGGTCAAATGAAATTCTGGTTACCCAACAGGAGGGCCATCCTTACCCCTTTCCATCTTTAATCCCTGTGATAAACATCGTGATGCAATTCCAAATCATTTACTGTGCCTAAACAGTGATTTACATACACATTAGAATCATATCACATATAATTACAAACATTGTAATCACATTGCTTTTCTATAATAACTTTGCCTTATTGCCAGTAATGTCATGGCCTCGTCATCAAATTGAACCTTGTTTCTTTGCCATACCCTATCAAATTATTATCATTGTTAATAAATTGTCTTGCTGCTTTCATCTGACTAAAGCCTATTCCACTCATTTTGTGGCAAACCACGTCTTAGCTAGAATCCTATAACAAAGTGAAAACTCATTAGCGACAGCTACATACACTGCAGCATTTTCACTGCTGAGTTGAACTGTCTACTCCATGTTTAGTATTTGACCCTGAACAGAACAAAGGTACTGGAAGCAAAAATTACCTTTTAAATAGTAAGTATTTAAAAGTACCTTTTAAATAGTAAATTGTATCCTCTAATATATTGCAAGTGTGGGTTTTTTTCAGCTGCAGTCCTAATTTTCCAGTAGGTGTTTCCCTTCATTGAGTAGCAACAAACGCTATAAAGCAAAATAGAACAAAAAGCAACAACTGTCCTTTCAAACTGCAATTGACTATGAGCAGTAAATTTATTTTATAAAGATAGGGCAGCTTTTAATCCTCTCAATGAAGGTATTTTGCTTGCCATATTCATTTAAATTGCAGAACCCATAACTTTCTAACATTGTTTTATTTCTGACACTGCAGAATAACCATTACATTTTAAACACATCATTGTTCAAAAACACAGACCCAGTTTTGTTTGTTTTGCTTTGCCAGGCTTTTTCCCCCCCTTCTAACATCAGCTGGTGCACTTGTCTAGGCTGGCAAAAGGAAATTCATCTCAAGAGGGAACAAGTGTTTCAGTTTTTATGAATAACAAACAGCCAGAGTGGTGACAGGACCATCCAAGGCTCTCTTGCCAGCGGCAATGGTGAAGCAATGCACATTTGCTGCCTTGGCCATGTCCCCATTTTGAGCAGTATCTCTAATCTTGTGCTGCATTGAGATTTCTACCTTTTGTCTTCCCACAGGGGAAATACAAGTTTAAATGCTTTCTTATATGACAGAAGCAGCAAAATATCCTGTCACTATGAATAACATTCCAAATTCTTCAATTGTTTAAAAGCTATTAAACAGTTGCCATCAGAAAGGGCAGAGGAAGGAGCTCTAGAGCAGTGCCTGGGCACTTCCCTCCTTGTGAAGGACTTACATGCTAGAAGGTATGATTCTGTTCATGCTGAAGATCAGTGCCTGATTCTGGTGTAAATTCATCTAGGACCACTGAAACCACATAAATATTCAATAACAAGCTCATGTTTAATGCTCCTTTCCCAACCTCCGATAAACATGAAGTCCAACAGAGTAGCCTACTGCACAAGTTTATTTATGAGGGATAAAAACACAATGAAAGCTCCCAGAGCAAACTGCTGGAAAGGATTAATTTTATAATCGGAAGCCACAGTGTAAGCAAAGAACAGAGCAAACCTTGTGATCAAAGCTCCTGTTGACTTCCCTCAGACAGAAACAGGGTGAGCCAATCTAGCCAAGAGAAACCCCTTTGACTCCTACCTAGATACAGATTTTTGCATAGCACTGGAAGAATGTAGCTTTACTTTGTTACACATTCACCTAATATAAATTACTCAACATATTGAAATTACGCTATTTGAAAGGTATTTTTACTAGAAAAATCACATCATGTGTCATCATGATACACTCAAAAGATGGTGTGACATGATCATATAAACTGCATGTCCAAACTCTTTTAAGTACTAATTGTAGCATGCAAACTTTTATAATAGACATTTTCAATTTATTTAGTATACTGCACAACATGCATCACATTAACAATTTTTGTACCTTCTGTTTGAGCCACAAGAGCATTTTTAGAAAAATAATAATTGCAAACAGAGGACATTTAATTGCTACATTTTCAGCTTCTTTCTTTCTCTTAACTGTGAATAAAACCAAAACACCTACTGTTTTGGCATTTAAATCACACAGTCTTGCAAAACTGCATTGCTTTAAAAGACCTTTAAAATTAATCATAACTAGAATAAGTATTTCCAGAAAAAAATATGAAGAAATCACATGAACCTCAGTCTAGTTCAGGAATAATGATAATTGCCATTTTGACCTGTAAGCTCTCAAGTGTTTAGTTCACGAACATTAAGACATTCACGTATCTCCCAATGCAAAGGAAATTCAAATATTTTGCAGCACAGCGGATCACTGCTCACATACATCAAATCCCACCCTTACAAAATCCTGGTGATAGACTTATGAGTTACCTACACCACATTCAAGCTTTCAGTAGAAAACAGTCAAGCATTTTAAGAGTCTGTAGAAGCAGATGAGTAAACTCAGCACCAGTTACAAAAAAAATCACTATTTGTACTCAAATTATTTAAGTACTTCTATATGAAACCTGTGAGGAAAATTTTGAAGTGAGAAAGGAATGTTTGTCAAAGTTTCATTCAGTAAAACAGGAACTGACTCTGTGTACGTGATCAAGTACTCTGGAGGCACATGTGGTTAAAAAAAATGAAAACAATATATTCCATTTCACATTCAACAGTTTTATCTCTTTGAAAGGCACTAGCTATCATTAGTTACATGTTTATTCAAGACTTAATCTTATTTGAAAAGATCCTGAGGCTTAAAAGGAACATAAGAACAACACAATAAACTATACTCTTTAGACAGCAACCTTCAACATGGTCATGGAAAGGGCTGGTTTTGTTGCTCTTCTAGTTCTCTAATATTTGAAGACACAAAACCTTCCTGCTGTAATGACTACCTTCAAAGAGAATTAGGAGTAACAAAAAAAAAGAAAAAATAGAGAGAGACACTGACATCCACTTGAGTGAATGTTCTTGAGAAAAAAAAACCACACAGCAATACTTGGCAAACTGAATAATCACTGCATTAAATATAAAGAGGGAAGTTTTGGTTCTACACAAGATTACAATAGAAAAATCATTATTTGGATTGGTTCTTTGTACTCCTAACAATAAAACAGTTTCTTATAGTTTCAAGTGCAACCCATAAAATAATACTTATTTTGACTTCTATAATTTATTTTCTTTGTTCATCAGCATCAATTTCACCACAGGCTCCTGCTGTTTATTGTCCTGGTCGATTTTAAGCCCTTAGGTGACTTGTTAGCAAATGACTTGGAAATAAAAAGTGACGCAAAAAGCTGCGCAAACCCTTATTAATCGTTAGCTCACTCTACCTCCAAGCCACCTGCATTACCTCCTAAAGTTGATTATGGGACAGAAAGACGTCAGAAAGCCAAAACACTGAGAACATTCTGGTTCTAGTTAAAAGGTGCACATTTTTTCCTATAAAGCTCTACTGAAATTGTCATTCAAGCTTAAAACATTCAAAGAGTTTGACTACAATGCTTCAGAGATGTGTTAAACCTGTAACAGGTTGTGACTGGACTGAGCACTGGAGCAGGGAGGAACCAACAAAACATCTCAAAAATATTTTTTTTTTTTAAATCCAAAACCTCACTCGTTTAAGGAGTGCCTTTCTCATCCTGAATGTTGACTAAGGGTATGACTTAGAGAAAGGTCTACTTCCCCTTTTTCTTTGAATCACTAATTCTAAAAGTCAAATGTAAATATCTAGTTCCCTCTTACCCGCACAGAAAACCTTCCAAGACCACAGCTCCTTTAGAGAAAGGCTTTACTCCCCAATACAGCAATGCTTACTAAGAACTGATCTTTGAACCACAATTCTTTTTCTCTAAGTCTTTGCATAGATGTTAAAGAAACAAAGTACTAAGTTGTCATTCATTTGCTATTTTACTTTTACATTGGAATCTTTAAAAAATGCCAAAAAAAAAAAAAAAACCACACCAACTCTCTGAATATGCTGTTTGAAAAAACTTTCAACTTATCATACAGCTGCTTAATATTTAAAGCATAGGTTTGGGGCTTTTTTTTTTTTAACCACAACAACAGCCAAAACAGATTCAAGTCAGTCATAATTACTTGCCAGCATTTAAGGTCACAATATAGCCAATATTTTTAAAAGAAATAAAAATTCAGTGGCATCCAGCTTCACCTCTATTAAGTACAATGCTCTCTTTTAAGCAAAGTTGTCCATGACACAGTGGAGTTTAATGTGGATAGATCACTTCAGCGATCGATGTGTTATGCAGGTTATATTGTTTCTCCTTTGCAATTTTAAGACAAAAATATAAATTACAACTTATATTTGTCAAAGGCAATTTAAACTTTTCAATACTAAGACTATTAGAAATTACATTCACTTTATAAATGAAAAATGTAAAGCTCTTCATGAAATTTATCAGAAATGGTCTTTGAAGGTATTTATTAACAAACAATCTGCATTCTCATGTTTAACTGCTTTCTGTGAACCAGTAAACTGTCCTTTAAGGAAAAGACAAAAAAGGCTACAACAAATGTACAAGTACCTGAGAACTGGATAAAGGTTGTATGTTTATGTGTTCAGAAAGTACTGGGCCAGTTTCATATAGCACCAGAGGTAATACTTGTAATAGACTATATAATACCTAATCTAACAAAAATATGGAATTAGTAAAAAACTTTTGGTATCAGAAGCAAGCTTTCCAACAAAATTTGACTTCAACTGTCTCATCTCCTGAGACAGTCTCAGACTGATTTTAGAGGAATGACAATGAACAGTACATCAATAGATTATTCTTCATGGAAAGAATAAAACTGTCTTAAGAATATTTTTTAACATTGACATCCTAGATCCTAGGCTAGACAGTGACATTGTGCAGTCTAAGACTTTAAGCAAAATTGCTGATGATCCTGATGATAGTGTGAGAGACAAGCAGCAAGCCAGAAATCCCAGGACTCGGGAAGATCTCAGCCTGTTTCGGGAACAGGTAAGCTGGAGGCCTCGTGTGGTTTCACCTCAAGGAACACAAACACAAATAAACCACACAAGCCAAAACTAAAGGCAACCACAGCAAGAGGCCAGCTTGGCTAAACAGGGAAATTCTCACACCACCAGAAACAGCTGGCCAAGAAAGAGAAGCAAGACAAGCTAGCAGGGAGTATAAAAGCAGAAATCCTGAGCTGGACCGCACTGGGTTGGACATCTAAATCTGCCTGACACTAAAACTAGGAAGAGATATGGCAGTATGACATGGAGACACATTGGACTGGAGTAGGGCACAGGTCACCTAGTAAAAGGCTGAGGTAGTAAAAGCCTTTGCCTCAGTATTTACTGCTAAAAACTGCTCCAAGTGCCTCCTGTCAAAGACTAGGAGGGAAACATGCTAATATTGCACTACGGGAGGACCAAGCAAGATGGTCCCACACAGCAGTGGGACATGTACAAGGCTAAGGCACCAGATGACACACGTCTGAAAGCATCGAGAAAGCAGCTGATGCTATCATGATGCCACTCTGGCAGCTCCAAGACTACAGGGTGATCACGTCCCTGATGACTGGAAAAACATCAGTACCATGACAGCTTCAGAAAACATCAGGAAGAATTGTCTGGAGTACTACAGGCTGACAGACCTCACCATCACTGTGGAATGTCCACAGTGAGTTCTCATGGAAACTACACCCCAGCACACAAGCAGCAAGATAAGAACAGCCAACATAGATTTATCAAAGGCAAAGCACTCCTGACCACCCTAATTGCTAAGACAAACTAGCTGGCTCTGTAGATAACAGTTATCTAGTAGATATAAATTGATTTTAATACAGCTTTTGATTTTTCCCTCTACCCTGGTAGCCAACATGAATGGCACAAACTGAAACTGAACATAGGGGCAAAACAAATAGATTCAAAGGCTATTGGTACAATGGATCAGTGTGAGAATTGCACCTGGAAGTCTAAAAGGAGACTCTTCTTCTAGAGAGAATGCCCTGTCAGGCCTGCCAAGGGAATGTAATTCTGAGCTGAAAACTTCAGTAAGGTTCATTAATCAAAGTCTGTACACT